CCTTGTGTACATCACTACTAATACTGTATTTGGCAACACTAGGATGATGCGAATCAGTTATCTATCATCGTGAGTCTGGCAAATTTATAGTACAAATATTTTCTGTATTTTGGTTTAATAAAGCATTAAAATAGGTACCTAATTATTATTTTTACCTACTTATTTATTTACCTATGTATTACATATTTTTATTTTAGAATTTATTATTAGTTCGGAGAGTTATTATTATTATTATTATTATTATTATTATTATTATTATTATTGCTTCAGTATTATGTTGTTTCACAAGAAAAAAATCTATGTTCTATCTTTCCATTAGTATTTGTTTTATTAAATCTATTCTGTGATAAAAAGACTTTTGTGCATTTAAGAATGATTCATGTAGAAGATTACATTCTTACATTTTCCTTAATAATAATTGAAAATGAGAAATTTGTGTATAGTATTATTTTAACTTAATGTATGATGATGATTTTATTTTATGTGTGTTTGTATTGCATTACCTTGTGTAATGTGAGGAATGGTGATTAGTTTTTGAAGTTCATAGTATTGCTAATAAATAAGATTGATAGACTTATGAAATATTTTTCAATACAAATTTTTTGTCAATTTCACTTTTAAATTTAAATGTGATGTAACTTTGGTCATATTGTTTTCTCTATTTATGGCTGGTCTACAATGGGGCAGCCAGATGATGAGAGGGAGGAACCCAACATATCTGGACCATCACTGTCGCTCAAAAAATTCCTGGGTTTTTGACCTGTCCAGAATCAATCCTGGGTCCATCTAGCATTTGGAGTTGCCGGCTTTTATGCTTATTCAGTATCAAGATATTTGATAAAGATTGCTCATGACTGTTTTAGTGATAGCATTAACAAATTCTGTATCTGTATCTTTTCAACTGGAGAAATGATAAGTGTGATTTGACTTTGCCTTACATGTTTCTTAATAAAAAGATATTTGGTATTAACAACAATATTTTCAAACTTTTTCATAACTTACATATGATGCTAAAATGATTTTGAGATGATTCAAAATTAGCTAAGTGAAAAATGAAATTGTTTAACAGACCAGTTCACTCATTAAGGCTGTGTACACACTAGGCGTTTTTCAATGTGCGTTTTAAAGAACCAAGAGTTCTATGTAGGTGTACACACTCAAACGCCAAGCACGCGTTAAACGTGCGTTTATAGATTTTTGTTAAAACGCGCGTTTTGCGAGCGCTTTGAGATATATGTGCTGCCATGTTACCGTACATGCGATTGCACGTTTTGCGGGCGTCAGCCGAGCGCTTTGAGATATATGTGCTGATCATTTCGATACTGATCTATTTATTGATGAAATCTAAAAGAGACCAACCATCGTCAAAGGATTTTATAGATATTTTAAAAGAATTAAAAAACTTGAATTTATTTTGTATTAGTTTTGGATACAAAGTCGCAAACATTTCATGCGTCAGTCTATCTCGTAATATTGGGTGCACCCAAAATTCTCTTTGCCTCTGCCGTCGTCTTTTATAGCGACGATAGAGGAGCCACACACAAGCAATCACTTCCACATCCATTTCCAAACCGAGCCAGTGCGCAAGCTCCGCTAAACGCTTGTCGAACGCCGAGCTAACGCGAGTTAAAAAACGCCTAGTGTGTACAGGCTCTAATGATCAAAAGGATAAGTTGTTTAATCAATGGTGGTGATCAAGATTTGCAAAGATTTAATCACTTTGTCATAACTTGAATTTTTGCTAATCATGAATAGTATGAAATTTGATTTTAAAAGAAATAAAAATTTTATTAAAAAAGTTTAAAATTTTTAAGATTTATAGTTTTCAATTTTTAAAGGAAGCTATTTATGAATTATAGCTCATTCAAGAAGAGGTGATCTTGAAATCTTGGGCTACAATATGTTGCAATGGTTGTGTGGCAGTCTTCCATGGGAGGATAATCTTAAAAATTTAGAATACGTCAGTCAAAGCAAGCAAAAGTAAGTGAAAATTTTTGATGGTCACTATCTCTAAATTTTTTAAAGAATTTTAATTCTGCAGGAAACTATTGTGTAGGAAATTGTTCATAAAAGATATTATGAAGAATTATTTTAATAATGATGAAAACTGTAATTAGAATTGTTATTTTGTATATTTATTGAGTATTTCTAAGATATTTCTTTAAGTTAATGATTCATTAAGCTACATTTTTGTTAATTACTACTTGGTATATTATTAACCAGGTGCTCATGTATTCATGCCCACTTAACATTATCTGGTATATTCTCGTGATTCTGATATGCATTTTTATCTATTTTTACTTGTTTGAAGTAGAAGTGCATCTTAGAATCAATGACATTATTTTGCAGCATTAAAATGAATAGTTATTGTATATAGAGAAGAGCAAGAAATAGAGCTATCAAACATATCCAGTTTTGTGGCACTTGTATTATTTTTATAACTAATTGTTACTTGACAAAATTTGAATAAAATTTTTTATTTTAAAATATTACTTCCCTAAAATAATCTTAATGAGTTTCAATTGTNCGAACAGTTGGAGTAGAGAATATTGTAAGTTACTGCTAGCAAAACAATGCGAAATATGTAATTATTTTCGGTAATCCGGACACTTTTGGTAATCTGACACACCTTTGGTCCCATACCTGTCGGATTATCAAGGGACAACTGTAGTACTAAATAAAACACAATAATAATCATCTTTAAACATATGTAAATCTGAAATGAGTAAAATTTAACAAATTAATTAAACAGCACAGTACAGGATAACATATATATATATATATCATACATACATATATATATATATCATACAGAAATGTGTGTGTGTACACACACACATTTCTGTATGATATATATATATATATATATATATATATATCATACATACATATATATATATATCATACAGAAAGGCAGAAACAATTTGTCAATTAATCACATTAACATATTTGTGAACTGCCTTTCTAAAGCACTCCGTCATTAGCTCCTTCCAAGAAAACCTATAAACTTAAATTACTCTGTAGGGAAATGGGAATATCTCTACTGAGCATCTGAATGACCTTGTTGTTAAAGTATGACATATTGTTGTATCAAATCTGTGTAAGCAGTTTGAGGTTGACCATGCACCTTATTGACATCAAGCAAAGAATAAAACATTAATGTCTAAAAAAATGTTTACAAGCATATAACATTTAATTTTCTTCACTACTTGCTATTTTATAGAAGTTATTTCAAAATATATCTCTTTGCAAGGATTAAATTTTAAGTATGTTTCACTTAAATACAGTAGAGCATCGATTTTCCGAAAGTCAATCATCCGAAAGAATTCCAGTTGGCAAATTTAAATTTTCGCCAGTGCTGTGGCGCTTCAATCTTTGGCTATGTCTTGGGCTACTCAAATATTTTACGTTTTTGATACTAAATTAACATCTGAAGTATAATTTTTTATTATTTTTATATTTTTCAATATATTTATTTTGTTTGTACAAAATAAAAAAATAATTTTTAACGATACAATAGTCTTTGTTAGGCTTAACATCGACGAAAATTCAACGCGAAGCGACACGCAACGGAGAAAAATTTCAACATCGGATACGTTAAACTATTTTTTCGTACATAAATCAGTTATCCGAAATATCAGTTATACGAACAACCTTAGTCCCCAATTGATTCGGAAAATCGACGCTCTACTGTACTTGAATTTATTTCTTAGTCATGCTTTCCAGAATATACCTGGTATATTGAAAATGTTAATGGTATGGTATAAAATATACAATTATATTTTTAAATTTTCAGAAATTTCTAAAAACTCTTCTTAAATTATTTACAAATCTTATGCTTATAAAAATAGAATAGTCAGTCTTGTAAAAAATAAATTCAGAATGTTTCATCTGTCATTTTTATTACAGTTTTATTGCACACATTCCAAACTCTGTGAAAAGATGCTTTTCACCAAATTCTACTCCAGGTAATTTAACATTTTATATTTTTATTGCTTTGACCAAGTGTTTGTTCTTATTTTGTCCAGAGTGAATGGGTGAGAAATTCTTAACACACGCCTATCATTATGCCATAAATAGAATGGTCTTTATTTATTAATGTCTACTGTGTTATAAAATATTTCATCTGCTGATAGTTAAATTTCTATTTTTAAATTTTTTATTCTGTACAACATTAACTGAGTCTTACAATAAAAAGGAAAAGTACTCTCAGAAAGGCAATTTTCTTACTTTTAATTTAAAAAGTTGTCAAGTGTTTTTGTGTTTGCTTGTTTACTTTTCATCAGAATAGCATAGGAAAAGCATTTTATACTATTTGTCAAATGTTTTTAAGAATATCATTTATATCCAAATATAATGATTAATGGCACTTTCAAAAGCTGGACACTTTAATTTACTCACAAAAAAACCTTTTATTTCAACCAGCAGGAGTTTCATGTAAATTTGGACAAACATTTTTGACCTAATTATAAGTCTGCTTCAGGTCTTCAATTTTTTATTCTATTTTGGAATTTGCTGTAGAATGCTATAAATTTTAAATCTTGGAATGCAGTTCAAAAATCATATATGATGTTTTCAACATAAATGTGTAAATATTCTGCATCGATTTATATATATTTGCAAAATTAAATATATGTTTTATAAATCAACGCACATTATACATGTCCCATCACATTCAATGAGATCCACCATGTTTGTTTTTGTTTGGATCATTGTAAAATGTTTGCCAAGCACTTGAAATTTTTGCTTTTTCCTTAAAATTAATTTCAATTCAATTCTTTATTGTATGAACTTTAGTTTATTACAAGGGAGTTAAAGTACAGTATTACAAAAAACTAAAGTTAGTACAATTTAACAAATTAATATAATAGTTTAGTATAGTTGTCCCTCTGTAGTCCGACGTTTTTTAATCCGACATGCTCAGTAGTCCGACGCACCTCCTGTCAAGGTACCCGTCCCCGTTACGTGTCTGTTTGCACAGAAGCATGTCGCAACGTGAATCTCCCCATCCAATTTTTACACGATGACACACATTTCGTGTGTTTTATGTGAGCAGTTCTGTTTGAACAGTTGGAGTAGAGAATATTGTAAGTTACTGCTAGCAAAACAATGCGAAATATGTAATTATTTTCGGTAATCCGGAAACTTTTGTGTGTTTTATGTGAGCAGTTCTGTTCGAACAGTTGGAGTAGAGAATATTGTAAGTTACTGCTAGCAAAACAATGCGAAATATGTAATTATTTTCGGTAATCCGGACACTTTTGGTAATCTGACACACCTTTGGTCCCATACCTGTCGGATTATCAAGGGACAACTGTAGTACTAAATAAAACACAATAATAATCATCTTTAAACATATGTAAATCTGAAATGAGTAAAATTTAACAAATTAATTAAACAGCACAGTACAGGATAACACAAAATAAATACATGCAATCGGTTTTGAGAAAATAATAAATTATTTACATCTTTCCAGGATTTAAATCTTGTTAAATACTTTTCTATTTGTTTCAAATTTGATGTAGTGAAAAAATACATATTCCCAAGTTTCATAGATTTGCAAACTACAATTACTTCAAATTCTCTCAGGGTTTTTTATTAGTATACTGTTATATATTAAAATATATTTTTGACACATCTCAGCTGTAGAATTCATTGTTTTACATGATAATTTATGTCCATAGACAAATAATCCTCATACAAATAAGTTGTTTAAAAAATATGATACAGTAGAACCTCGAAAACTCGGCCACACCCTGGCAAGGCAAAAAAATCCTTAGTTAATTAATTTTCATTATAGACAGCTTTATAAAAGTATAAGAGCTCTCATAAAGTATTTTTCTGAGGTCTGTCTTATCAGGTAAATTACTGTACACTGTGTATTCATTAATTTTCATTTTCATTAGTAAAGGCTCTATGCGTTCATAAAGGACGTACTTTTCCTTTGTTTAAGGATATTTGGGCAGTTTATTCTCTGTTGTATTCTCAAGCAAACAATACATACAAGTACAGTACAATATTTTCTGAGGAAACACGCATACTTATCCTTTTTTAACCACATTCCCGATAACCCGACATTTTCACAAACTCGGCCACCCTTCGGTCCACATTAGGCCGAGTTTTCGAGGTTCTACTGTATAATTGAAAATGCTTCTTCTGTTCTAACAAAGACCAATCTTCTTGTATGCTTTATTTGCAGCACACTTTTATAATTAATGTTTGATAACTTTCAATCAAATGAGGAACTTGAGACAACCATAGAAATGAGAAACTGTGTCAAACAGATTTTTCAACCTTAAAATTAATACATTCTTATGTGATTGGGGTTGTTAAGATGCCGCTCAACTATGTAGGATGGCTTTGAATTTCAAAGAATCAGGTAGATCCCGAAGATTTTCCTATTTGTCTAGGATTCCTGACACCAGATAGGGTAAATTTCAGTTCATGCTCTAACTTGCAATTCTACCTATTGGCGGTTTAACATCCAAGTGGCGGTGTCTAAATTCTCATTGGAGGGATAAATCGAGTGGCGGAAGGGTCATGTATGATTTGGGATAGGGAGGCTCTGACAAATCCCTTTTATAACTAAACTATTCTATCTATTGGGATATACAGGGTGCATAGGAACCTTTAACCAAAAATTCTTGTGAATGGAGAGAGCTACAGCTATGCAAGTGAGGTAATGGTATAGTAAAGAGACTATGCTCGACCTAATGCAAATGACAGCAGAGCCCCTAGTGGCGAAATTTGGAAGATAGGCAATGCAAATCGAAAATGAAAACAGATAGAGCAAACTTCCCAATTAGAAAGTTTTAGAGCATCGATTAATTAGTACGAAATGACGTGGTTCACACAGATAAGATAAATTGTCGCCTGTATACCCAAAAATGTCCAAAAGCAATACATGCCATTTTGTGTAAACGTTTGAAAGGAATAGCCATAGGTATGAAGAAATACGCCCAATTTATTGCATAAAATACGTACTTACGTCAATACAGTGTGATAACATCACATAAAAAACAACAGAAAGGCAAACTGTCACACAGTGATAACAAGTTAATGTCGAGTATGTTTGAAAAGTTTGCCATTTGTTCACGATACATGCCATTATTATCAAACTGTAACAACATATATGTACTATAACAAAAGTATATAGTGGCTAATGCCTGGGTTTTGGTGAGAGAGCTTACAAAAGTTCGTACTACCTAAGGCTTGGTGAGACCCCATCTTTTCTTGTAATGTAGACCTTTTGTCTTAGTCTGAGTTAATCATCAGACGGAGATTATGACATGGCTTGACTCTGACTATGGGATGACCAAAAGCAGCCCTGAAGGAAGGTACTGTCCCCTTTTATAGAGAATTTGACGGTCAATTGGGTTTGTTCCCAATGTGGTCATGTTTTCAGTAAATTTCCATCCAACAGGAACTAAGCATCGGCTGAATCAGAGGAAGTAAGGCAAGATGCATAAATTGATAAATTTTTATTTTTCTTCCTGTTTTACCAGATGTTTCAAAATATTAACTAAAATATTACTTTAATTTAATGTTAAAATATTCATTTTTTTTAAAATTTAGAATGTTCTCTAAACTCCAAGTTCTCACATCCTCCTCTCCATCTTGCTTTGTAAATTTATAGAGTTTCTGTGTTTTAGTCTGTTCAGTTTGGATAGTATGCCTAACTGGGCTAGTTTGTTCAAATTCAGGTTTCACTCCTAGGCATATATGGAAGCAAACTTACAATTAGGTCAAAAACATTTGTCCAAATTTACATGAAACTACTGCTGGTTGAAATAAAAGGTTTTTTGGTGAGTAGATTAATGGCACTTATAAATCAAAATGAAAAAGATTTATTTTAAAGATCAGAATTAATGAATAGGTTAGAAAATTTAATCTTAATTTTAATTAAACTTATTCAAAATTTATAATTTAAATCTATTTTGAAGATTGTGAATAAATACAAGAATTGTTTAGTAAGCGGAATTGGTTATATATATATATATTTACATAAAGAGATTTCTAAATATTATTTTCAGCTGGAATTGAAGAATACTTTCAATATGTAGCTGGTCTTAAATTTGATGAAGAACCAAACTATAAATATCTTCAAGATGTATTGAAAGATGGTATTAGAAAAGCTGGTTCTAGGCATGATGGTAAATTAGTATTTAAATCTTCACCCCAACAAAGAAGTAAATCTCCAAAGGTAAATTATTAAATAAATATAAAACTTGTTTATTTTTATTGATATGAAATAGTTGTGCAGTTGATTGTTGAATAAATTTATTCAGTAGTTTACTTAATCTGTCCCATGTTATTCCTGATATATCTTGGGTTGCAACCTGCTGACCTTGACCAATGGACCCAAGATATCTTGTTTCAGCATCAGTATGTTTTTCAAACTAGATGTCACTAGTCATTATAGTTTTTATATTAAAACTAACTTCTGAAATACAATTTTTTTTCTTTTTACATTTATTAATATATCTATTTTGTTTGTGCAAAATAAAAAAAAATTTCAGATGATACAGTAGTCACAATTATTTTTTCAAAAATGTATAATTTTCATTAGGCTTAACATCAACAAAAATTCAACATGGCGCGACACGCAATGGAGAAAAATTTCAACATGGGATAGATTAATGAATATGTCCTTTCAAATTTTTATCATAATTATGATTCAAACATGTTAAGAATTATGACTACAGAATTTAAAAGAATTTTTTATTTATTTATATATTTAATTACTTATTAATTAGTTTTAATTTTTGTTTAAATTTTGGCTCACCTATTGTAATAAATTATTGTTTTACAATATAAAATGAAATTTTAATGAATTTTTTGGTGTCTAATTTAAATTAGTGTACTGGTTTAAATAGTGAAAAAGTATAATTTAAATTTTGAACATTTTTACAATTGCATGCATGCATACATTACAAATATAGGTTAAACCTCACTAATCTGACAAGTTTGGTACCAAATAGGTCCCAGAGTAACAGATTTTCTAAATTAGTGAATCTTAGGGTTAATTTAAAATGGCAATATAGGAATACAGTCGATTCCATTTAATTGGGCCACTGGTTAATCGGAGCAACCGCTTTATTGGGCCAAATCCCAAAAGAATGGAAACTAAACTAATAAATTAATACATGATTTAATCACTTAATTGGGATAGTAGCAGAAAAGAAATTTAGCAAGTTTTGATATATTTTAGGAATCTTCCAAAAATATGTAGACACTATGTACACTAATGTTGTGTAGGCCTAACAATTGCCAGAAATAAAATAATTTTGTCTTTCGCTTGGGCAGTTCTGGAGGGAGTCACCATAGCAGGACGTATCGGACTTGTGTGAGATGGACCTGAATGTGAGCTACTGACTGCTCTGGATTGGACTGGATGATCCCTTTAAAAGCAAAGGGACAAAGCTCACTGGACAATTTTTCAAGGTCTCTCAACTGAGTTGGAAGACAGCTAGAGTTTCCTTGGAAGGTAGTGTGTGCATAATTACATCTAGATTTGAATAACAGTCATTCAATTGTTGAGACCAGCATCCAAAGCTGGTGGATTCTATGGATGCTCATGCCAAAGTGGCCCATCTCCAAGTAAAGGAAACTGTGCTCAAAGAAAGACCATAAGGTGACTTTCGGACGAACCCTTTCCTTTCTTACTTTTTAGTTAGAACATGTTCTAACTAAAAAGGGAGAAAGGAAAAATCACTCAATCAGGAATGAATTGAATGGTCAACCCTTGTATACATCACTACTAATACTGTATTTGGCTACACTAGCATGATGTGAATCAGTTATCTATCATTGAGTCTGGCAAATTTATAGTACAAATATTTTCTGTATTTTGGTTTAATAAAGCATTAAAATAGGTACCTAATTATTATTTTTACCTACTTATTTATTTACCTATGTATTACATATTTTTATTTTAGAATTTATTATTAGTTCATTTACTTGGAACAGCTGCTTAATTGGGCCAAAATGGATTAGTCCCAATGTGTCCCAATTAATTAAGCAGAATCGACTGTGTCTGTATTTGGATAACAGCATAAACCATCATAAGTGTGGTGGTTGTAATTAATATAGGGTGTAGGTGATGCCATAGCTGCAGTGTTGTTAATTTGTTCATGATTACATAATTTACAGATAATTTGAGGTGGCATTGGATATTTTTAGAAAGCCTAACTTGTACCAGTGTAATTATTTAAAAATCACAAAACAAAATCACAAATTGGCTACTTTATAATGGTAAAAAGAAAAGTAACTACTAAAAATACTTTAAATAGTAAAAAAAAAAATACTTAAAGGACTGACCTATGATTATAATATAGAACTTAGTGGTTTTTTTAGGTCAGCATTTAGTTTATTTAGCCCTTACATGGATAATGTTAAATATTTTAATGTTCGGAACCAGATAATTTTAGTTTCTTGCATTGGCAACACTACACAGTTAACCAGGCTGCAATCAAGCAAACTAACGAACTACCAGATTCAATCTGTATTTTCTAAGCATGTTAAGAAATATGAATGAATTAGATTGTGCCAGAAAATCAAGATTTCATTATAAAGCATTTTCCTTTTTCTCATGCTTGATGAAGCATAAGGCTTTTAATAGTAATTTTAATTTATATAAATAAATTTATTGCTGATAGAAATGAATTTGGATCTTTAGACAGACATAATATTGAAATTGCCAATAGCTTATAATAATAATTCATCATACATATTTTTATAAGTTTATATGCCTCAACATAATGAGTGAGATTAATAAAATTATTCTGATTATGTAAGAATTACAAATTGAAAATTTAAATCCTGCATTGAATCACTCCTCATAAAAGTTAATAGCTTACTTTTTATTTTTTGAATAGTTGATAGAAAAAAATTATAATTATTTCTGATATATTAATATTTATTAATTAATAAATTTATTGAAGTAAAATAATTTTATACATGATGTTATTTTTTGTTTAGAAATTATCAAATTCAAAACAAGTTTTGAAGCCTACTAGGAAACAAATAGATCAGAAAACATCACCAACAGACCAAACAGAACTTAAAGGCACTAAGTCTAAACATCAAAACTGTTCATCAATAATTCAGTCTTACAAAAATAGTTGTAATGAACTTATGCAAGATAATTCTTTAGAAAATCCTACACCTGCAATGTTAATGGTTATGCAAAAGAAATTACAGCAGCAGAACACACCAGAAAGATCATCATCAAGCTTTAACAATAAGGGCAGAAAGAGACCATCACCAGATTATAATCAATTAAATGAAACAGAGCAGATATTAAAAGATAAAGGTAAATATTTATTATTTGAATTTTAAATTATAAAAAATTAGAATAGAACTACTTTCTTTAAAAGGAAATTAGTCCTTAATATTTTAAAAAATATTTTTATTTAATAATTTATTTTTAAAACTTACTTTTATAATTTTCTTTATAAA